CTAGGTCGTGGTAAAGTCAAGCTTAGGGAGTCCTTGCGCGGTGTCAGGCGATAAAGGTGGCTAGGCGATAAGGGAGAACTTTGTTCTACCTGCTAGGCGATACACCTTGCCGACAAAGTCCAGGCTGAACTCCGGAAGCCAGGCGATAAAGGTGGCTAGGCGATAAGGCGTAACTTCGGTTCACCTGCTAGGCGATACACCTTGCCGGCCCCGGTAGGGAAGCTCGCATAACATCCAGGGTTTTGGTGGAGTCGTCCCGATCTCAGTCACCCGGAGCAGCAAGCCGAAGCAACACAGCGGTAAGCCAGGAGCGACGCAGCAGCACGCCAGGAGCAGAGCAGCAGCGAGCCAGGAGCAACGCAGCAGGAGACAGCGACAACGGGCAGCAGAATAATAGCAATAAGGCTATATTTTAGAGAGTCAATAAACCAGCACCAACCTAATCATTTCTGGCGTTATCCTTTGGTCACGGGCGGTCACTCAATATAAATTTGGTGGAACGAACTCACAACCTCTCTGAGCTAGCCGCACGTTTACGTAGCGAGCAGAAATAAACAATCAGGTCGTTACATCTGGCGCCCAAGAGTGATTGTCCTGACCAAGGAAACAAAAGTTCCGAGATGGGGAAGTCCTGGATTTATAATCTCAGGAAGGAGGACTTCGACGAGGTGAGTCAAGTTCTGGGAATAGAACTGGAGGGCTCAGTCGATTCGACGAGGAAGACTCTGGGAGACTTCGTCGACCAGACAGCAGAGGAGCCAGACATCGCCGATTTGGTAATGGGCCTGGAAAAGAAATTCCGGAAAATGCCCACGCCAAAATTCAAAATCACAACCGCAAGTGCCGAGGGCCTGATAGCGAGCTTGGATGTGTCGAGCATCGCAAGCCACGCAAGCCGGCAGCGGGAAAATAGCCGGGAAAGAAAGGAGAGTTCCAGGACGCAGACGCAGGACTACGCGAAGGTGGCCAAGCAGGTCCGGGAGTGGAATTTCCGCTACGACGGAAACGACAAGCCGCTGGAATTTTTGGAGCAAGTAGAGTGGTCAGTCGTGACTTACGGTCTCGACATAAACCAGATCCCACGAGCAATGCCGGAGCTGCTCCAAGGCAGAGCCTTGAAGTGGTTCATCGCCAACAATCGGCACTGGGAGACCTGGGGAGACTTCATCTACAGCTTCCAAAACTACTTCCTGCCCCGAGGATACATGGCGAAGCTGGCGGACCAGGTCAGACAGAGGAAGCAAGCCTACGGGGGAGAGCTTCAAAGATTTTATGGTGGATATGCAGACCCTGATGCGGCCACTGAATATGTCAACCAAAGAAACACTGGAGAGGATAAAAGAGAACAGCACGCCGGCACTCAGAATGTTCGTTCGCCCATATGAATGTCGAAATTTGGATACATTGATGGCGCTGGCAGACGAATTTGAGGAGCTCGACCAGCAGAGGGAGAAATTCGAGCTGGAAAACAATCCCCGCAAGCAGCAAGGGCAGAGCCACCCAGTACCAAGGCCAAGATCAGACCAGGGTGCGGTGTGCAGGCGATGCCAGGAGGACCCGAACGCACAACCACGAAGTACGCCGCGCGGCCACGAACCAGCAAACAATCGCGGCGGATACGTAGCAAATCCTACCCAGGCCTGCCGCAGATGCGGGGGCTCAGACCACTGGGCGAAGGAATGCCGCAACCAACGGCTTACGTTCTGCTGGCGATGCGGAAAAATAGGAGTTCGGACGGTTCAGTGCTGTTCTGGGTCGGGAAACGCAAGGATGGGGATTGGGTTCGCAAGGTGCTGCCTGTCGAAATTAATGGGCGACCTGCAGGCGGAAGAAATGCAACTGTCCGCCACGGTGTTTATAGGTGAAAGTAAGATTAAGGCCACGGTGGATACCGGCGCCACGGCGAGTTTCATCAGCGAAGAGCTGGCGGACAGGCTGCAGGCGGCAGGAAGGGTCGGACCCACGAGAAGACAAGTACGGATGGCAGACGGTCGCTGCGGAGAAATAAGATCACAGCTCGAGACCAAAATTGGTCTGGGAACGAAAACAATTTCAATGGAGCTGCTGATTTTACCAGGACTGATCGACGCCCTGGTGTTGGGATGGAATTTCCTCACCAGAATCGGGGCCGAAGTCGAGTGCGCAGGACACAGCGCGTCGATACCGGCAAAGAATAGACGAGGAGGATGGCTGGAGGAAAAACTGTCAGTGGCAATAGTTGAAACACCCAAGAGATTTGCGGAAAAGGATGTAGAGGGATTTTTAAAAGCTGAGTTGGACGAACTGGAAGGAATAAATGGTACATCCAACGTGGCCGTACATAGGATCACCATGAAGGACGACCAACCAGTCAAACAACGGTATTACCCTACAAATCCAAAAATGCAGGGTGAGATAAATGCCAAGGTAGACGAGCTGCTGGAAAAAGGATGTATCGAGCCGTCCAGGAGTCCCTACAGCTCACCAATAGTCATGGTGAGAAAGAAGACTGGAAAGTGGAGGCTGTGCGTGGATTTCCGGCAAATAAATGCAAGGTCCATAAAGGACGCATACCCGATGCCGATGATAAATTACATCCTGGACCAGCTGCGAGAGGCGAAGTACATCAGCAGTCTCGATCTAAAGGACGGGTACTGGCAGATCCCCTTGGAGGCAGACAGCAGGCAGTATACGGCGTTTACTGTACCAGGGAAGGGCCTGTTCCAATGGAAGGTGATGCCATTTGGCCTACACTCCGCGTCGGCAACATTCCAGCGGGCATTGGATCAAGTCATTGGACCAGAAATGATGCCGCATGCCTTCGCGTATCAGGACGACATTATCGTCATCGGACGAACGCTCGAAGAGCATATGGAAAACCTGAAGGAAGTGTTTAGGAGACTACGGGGTGCCAACCTGAAAGTAAATGCGGAAAAATGCAAATTTTTTAAAAAGGAACTGCAATACTTGGGGCACCGCATAACAGACCAAGGCATCGGAACAGACCCAGAAAAGGTGTCGGCAATTGCCTTAATAAAACCACCGGCCAACGTTAAGGAGTTACGACAATATTTGGGAGTGGCGTCGTGGTACAGGCGTTTTGTGCCAGATTTTGCAACGTTGGTGCATCCGTTGAATAGCCTGCTCTGGAAAAGCACAAAATGGGAATGGACAGATGACCATCAACAGGCGTTTAAAGCTGTCAAGGCCATGCTAGTAGCAGACCCAATCTTAGCATGCCCAGATTTCACAAAGACATTTGTGCTGCAGACCGACGCCAGCGATTACGGGCTCGGTGCTATTCTCACACAGAATTCCGACCAAGGCGAGAGGGTGATCTCGTATTCCAGTAGGTCCCTAAATGGTTCTGAGAGAAATTTCTCAGCGACTGAGAAGGAATGCCTGGCAATTGTGTGGGCCATACGCAAGTTAAGGCCATACTTGGAGGGCTACCACTTCAAAGTGATCACGGATCATATGGCACTGAAGTGGTTGAATAGCATCGAGAGCCCAACCGGAAGAATCGCACGATGGGCGCTGGAACTGCAGCAATATGACTTCGAGATCGCGTACAGAAAGGGCCAGCTGAATATAGTCGCAGACGCACTATCACGACAGCCACTGCCAGAAACGTGTCGCCGGGTAAAAACACAGGAACAGCACAAGGAAACCGGCGAGTGTAACTGGATAAGGGATATGCGGAGCAAAATTTCCCAAAATCCCCAAAAATATCCAGACTACATGACAGAAGCCGACCAGCTATATCGCCACACACCACACAGAGCAGGCAACGAGGATGTCACATCATGGAAGCTGTGCGTGCCAACAGGATCCAGGCGGCGGGTAATGTCGGAGAACCACAACTCACCGGCAGCTGGCCACATGGGCAGTCGGAAAACAATTGCCAGAGTCGCAGCAAGATACCATTGGCCGGGAATGCACCGCGACATAAGGAAATACGTGCAAAACTGAGAGAGCTGCCTACGATATAAGCCAAGCCAACTACAGGCGGCAGGAAAAATGCTGACCCAAGTACCGGAAGAGCCGTGGGCCACTGTGTGCGCAGATTTCGTCGGACCACTGCCCCGCTCCAAACACGGGAATTCTATGCTACTAGTGCTGGTAGATAGGTTCTCCAAGTGGACCGAAATGGTGCCAATGCGCAGGGCAACGACGGAAACTCTGGAAAAGGCGATCCGCGAGCGGATCCTCGCAAGATACGGCGTGCCCAAGGTACTGATTACAGACAATGGCGTTCAGTTCACCAGCAGGGCGTTTAAAAAATTCCTGGGTGAATTAGGCGTCCGACACCAGTTCACGGCCCCATACACGCCCAGGAAAACCCGACGGAGACAGCCAACAGGACGGTGAAAACTATGATCGCCCAGTTCACCGGGACAGACCAGAGGACTTGGGACGAAAAGTGGCCGGAACTGCAGTTGGCCGTGAATACGAGCGTGGCTGAATCCACGGGATATTCGCCTGCTTTTATTACGCAAGGGAGAGAGCCTAGGTTACCCAGCGCACTGTACGACGAAGGAACAATCGGCACAGGAAGGGAAACGCAAACTCCGGCCGAGAACGCACAGAAGCTGAAAGAAATCTTCGAGCTGGTGAGGCGAAATATGGAAAAGGCAGCGCAGGGTCAGGCACGCCACTACAATCTGCGTAGACGCCCATGGAAACCGAACATCGGTGACACTGTCTGGGCTAAAGAACATCATCTGTCCAAGGCCGCAGAAGGATTCGCTGCGAAATTGGCACCAAAATATGACGGGCCTTTTAAGATAATAAATTTTAATTCGCCTGTGATATGCAATTTGCGGCACGAAAAGACTGGCAAAAAAAACCGCCCACGTTAGCCAGTTAAAAAAACAATTTATTGATGGCCAAAACAAAGGATCGAAGTCGGACTTAGCGGGGGCGCACTGTGAATCCGAAGAGAGGAAGAGGACGATACACAGTATAGAACTCACACAGATGCATTAGGAGCGCGAGAGCGGGAGAGGGAGGGTCATAGGATGCGGATACCGTTACCGGGTCACGCATACCAAAGCGGGGACCCGTCGGAGCCCGTAGCAAGGGAAAGTCCAAAGGCCGCCGCGGATAACGGAACCGGAAACATGGGCAACCGAGGTTTCGTCAGCGCGCGAGCGCCACAAGACGGGCCTCTTTAAATCAGGTCGCCAAGATGCCAGCACGCAGCAGCAGCAACAGTCAAGTCATAAGGGGAGAGGGGCGGGGAGGCAGCACCGGGCAACAGCCAGCGGCGAGAGGGAGGCGGGACTCAGGTTCCGCACTCCAGCTGCTGGCGTCCCCCTGGTGTCGCGGTCCCCGTCGCCGAACCCCGAATGGGAGGACGAGGAACGGATCACAGATCTAGAGCTGGAGGAGGAGGAGGAGGCCGGCGTCCGTCCGGCAGGGCAGGAGGCCGAGGTGACTATCGACCTGTCGTCGTCCGAGGAGGAGGAGGAGGAAAACAAGGAGGACACCGGGACGGAGACGGTGAGTCCAGAGGTCTCCTCGGACGAGGAGGACGAGCCACGTCGGGCGGCGAAGGCCCGGATGGCATTCCGCCGGATAAAGAGGGCCGCAGCCGGGTTCGGGCGGATCCGGTTGGGCGACGCAGCGCCATCGGGCCGCCCGGAAGAGGCAGTGCGTATATTGGCAACCCGGGCAGAGGTGGTGCGGCGAGTGTTCGCGCAGCGGGCGGTGGCACGGGCAGCCGCAGCAGCCAGGGAGTGGCAAAAGCGGCTGGACGAGGCTGAGGCCGAAGAGGCAGCGATATGGGCACCATAGAGTAAGAAACTATATAGAGGTTTCATTTGCTCTGCCCGTGGTGAGAAACCGAAGTTAGAAGAAGTTAGCTTCGAACATGGCTCTCAGCAGAGCTTTGGCAGAGGCCCGGGCAGAGCAAATGAAACCTCTATATAGTTTCTTACTCTATGCATACTCTATGCCTCTATATAGATTCTTACTCTAAGCCCCTGTTCGAGTGAATGAGTGAGTGAAAAAGTAAAATACGCCATTTTAATAAATGTAAAAGATTTTTATCAAATCCGTTCTCGCACATATAAACGAAGAGAGTAAGAGTGTGCAGTTCCGCTCTCTGTAAGTGCCAGTCTCTCCGTACATACTGTTGACTCTTTCTCGCACACATAGCCCAACTTCGGGTGAATGAGTGAGGAAAAAAGTAATAAACGCCATTTTAATAAACGCCATTTTGTAAATGTGGGTGCTGCCTCCTAGAGGCATTTCTCAAACGGGTGCGAACGTTTGGCACTCCTGGCATTGTAACCAGGCGCCCACCGAGACGTGTTTGGTCGAGGCTCATCTCCTTCGTCCACCTGCAGGTGGGCCAGACGAGCCATGGGGGTGGTTGGCTCCTCCTTCTCTTCGTCCTTTTGTACGCTTCGTGAAGCTTCTCCCTTGTATTTTGCGTCGTGTGCGCCGACGTTAGGTTCGTGCCTATATTTCGCGTCGTGCGCGCCGACGTTGTTTTCATGCTTATATTTCATGACGTGTGCGCGACGTGACGGGGCCTGGTGCCCCGAATGATGGTTTTTCGTTGTTACTAGGTGGATCTAGTGGTGAGGGAGCGCTGGGAGGGTCGCCCTGCTTGTGCCAGGACCCCGGCCGTTTTCCGTCTGGCGGCAGCAGAGGGGGGGGGTGGGGGGAAAGGGGCAAGCGCCCCGGGCGCCAAATCTAAGAGGCGCTAAATCGAGTCCGACTAGCAATATATGTTTCGAGAATTCATATTTTCCCGCGGCGCTGCGCATGTAACGCTCCCTATAGAATACAAGTGTAAGTGTTTTATGATGTGATCAAAAGGAAAAGGGACGCTCGAAACGTCATAATAAACTTTCTTGCTTAGAGAGAGAGAGAGAGAGAGAGAGAGAGAGAGCGAGCGGTATAAGTGTTAGGTTATGAGCGCGTTTGTTTACATACATTCCAATCAAGGCAGTGTTTTTCTATTGCAACATTTAATCAAGGTTCTTATGCTTCGATGTTATTTATCAAATATTATTCACTGAACCTTCCATTTCTTGATGTTCTAAAAATATATTTCTACTATTTCAAATTAGTTATATTCTATATTCTAAAAGTAATATTTTTTGTCTTGCAAAAACACAAATAATAATGTTTTTTTCCGTTGAAACTGACAAAAGAATCGATATGAAATACAATTCCTCAAACATATAAGATTTTAATAATTAATAACCTATTTACACTTAAAATACTCTTAATGTTATTCGTACAGCAAATAGGGAGGGGGCGGAATTTTTCGCTTTGCCCCGGGCGCCAGCAACCCTATATCCGCCACTGCCATTAGTATAGGACCGGGGGGTTCTGGCATTCTCGGGCGAAAGTTCCCACTTCGCCGCAGCGACTGCAGGCTCTCAACTTACGCGGATGATACCTTAATCATGTGTGCAGATAAAGCAGCGCACATAGCCATTAACACGAATACCACCTATCTCTACGCTATCACAAAAACAGTTCAAGTTATGCTCCAGCAATCCATGGCGCAATAATCAAAACCCAATTTGTACACCGTCACCTACGACTTTTGTTGGACAGGACCTCCGCCTATGGATTAAATTGGATCTTGGGAAAGCAAAGTAAGCTCCCAGCCGTAAGCAAGGCACTGCTCTATAAGCAGCCGATTGCGCCAATCTGGCACTACCGCCCTCCCTGTATGGAGCCTTTTGGTTTCTAAAACTCAATTTAACGAAATTGAAGTTTCACTGAACAAACGTTCCTATTTCAGTTGGGATTGAATTTGATTTCAAATGTAAGATTGGGCCAGGCCAAATTGAAATATTTTACATTTAATAAGACCACTTAAATTAAATTAAATATAAATATATACATTTATATTAATTTAATGCTTATTTTTTATTTGTAATATATAAGGTTAATTTTTAAGAGAAATTTTATTTATAGGAAAATATTGTTTATTAAAAAATTTTAAAATAATTTGAATGCTTTTATAGTTGTGGGGTAATGTTTATTTTGCATATCGAAACATATATGAAGTCTTATTTTTATACCCTTGCAGAGGGTCAAAAGTGTGCAACGCAGTGAAGGAGACAACTCCGACCCTATAAAGTATATATATTTTTGATCAGGATTTACCTCCTGAGTTCATATAAGCATGTCCGTCTGTCCGTCCGTCTGTCTGTTTCTACGCGAACTAGTCTCTCAGTTTTAAAGATATCGAACTGAAACTTTGCACACACCCTTCTTTCCTTTGCACGCAGTATATAAGTCGGAACGGCCAGGATCGGCAGACTATATCCTATAGCCGCCATATAACTGATTGATCGGAAATGCCATAACTTTGGTGTTTTTAAATTTTGGATGTTGGGATTTTTATGAGTATTAAGAATGCATCATATGAATAATTTTGGAGACTATAATTTACAGAATATTCTGCAAGGGTATATCAACTTCGGCTCCGCCCGAAGTTAGCTTTCCTTTCTTGTTATACCCTTGCAGAGGGTATTATATTTTCAGTCAAAAGTTTGCAACGCAGTGAAGGAGACATTTCCGACCCTATAAAGTATATATAATATACTAGCAAGGTAGCCCGCAGCTTCGCCTGCGGAAATTAAGATTAGCAATTTCCTAACTATATCGCTTAAAACTATACTTTTGATTAACTTTTTTATTTGCTTCTTTATTTAAACTAAAACCATTCCACATTTCCACACCACCATAGAGGTAGAGGTTTTGGCGCGTTTTTTTTTTTTGTGGTTTCCCCATGAGGCCTATTCCACAGTGCATTTTAATTAGAAATGTTTAACATTTTTGCAAGACTTCTCTATAAACGATATTTTTTGATTTTCCTTCTGGCGCTAAAATAATTAAAGACTCAGAGGAGCTAACTCTTGAACAGGCCACATAAAACTGACCATGAGAGAAGCAATCGTCCCTTAAATCTAGTCCAGCTAGTTTTAAGGTCTGACCTTGCGATTTATTTATCGTTATTGCAAAGCAAACTTTTACAGGGAACTGAAGTCTTTTAAACTGAAACGGTAGATTTGATGGTATTAGGGGTATTCGTGGTATAAAAACAATTTCTCCTTTGGCACAGCCAGTAAAACCACAGCTTCGATTAAATTGTTATGAAGAGCTTTTAGTTGCAATCTTGTACCGTTACATAGTTTTGGAGGTCTTAAATTTCTCAACAGCATAATTGGTGCACCAATCTTAAGCTTTAGAATGTGTAAGGGAAGTCCAGGTGGATTTTGTTGGTTGAGAAATTCAACCGGAAAATGAACTGCTTCATCAACTTCAGTGACTGAATCAATAGACTTATACGTAACTTCAATACCATCAAATGATTTTAACAGTATGTTATTTATTACCACAGCTCTATCATTTCTAGCAGTTAATATTGCTCTCTCCGAAAACCAATCTAATGATTTGGTTGAGATTTTTGAAATTTCCGGAAATATATTTGATGTGAGCTCCTCAAGGGAAGTTACAACAGTTCCTAAACCTGAAGGAATAATTATTTTTCCTTCGACAGTTGGAAAAAGACCGTCTCCAATTCTCAATAATGTATGTGCAAAAATTCCAGCAGTTGTATCGCCTTTTAAATGCACACGCATGTTTTTTGTTAGGCACAATTTTTGAATAGTAGGCCAAAGAAATGATGATTTTAAGCAGGCTTGTATTTCATCTGCCCTTGTTCCTCGAGGAACTACAGGAAGCGTTTGACGAAAATCTCCAGATAATAAAACCGTCATACCTCCCATTAGAAAATCATTACCACGAATATCTTTCAACATTCTATCCAACGCTTCAAAAGCACTCTTATGAGCCATTGTGCATTCATCCCAAACAATAAGTCTACATTCTTGAAAAACCAATGCCATATTACACCGTTTAGATATTGAGCAACATGGTGTTTCTACATTTATTAAATCCAATGGGAGTTTAAACACAGAGTGGGCTGTGAGTCCCCCATTTAACAGCGTAGCAGCTATACCTGAAGAAGCAACAGCCAATGCTACATTATTATTATGTCGTAATTTTGCTAACAACAAATTCAATAAAAATGTCTTGCCTGTGCCACCGGGGGCATCCAAAAAAAAATTTTCACCGTTTTCATTTTGAACACTTTGTAATATTTTTTGAAAGCCATTCTTTGCTCATCGTTAAGGGAATTTTCGTCTTTACTTAATTCGAATTCATTAATATTGTAATTTATTTCGTTTAAATATTCCCTATTTTGAAGTGGTCTACTAACTCTAATCGGTTCGGGCAAACCATAGTCTAATAGACACGTACCTCCAATGGACAGTGTTATATCTTCGATTAAAATAAGACATTTATTAAACACTCTATCCAGTAGATCTTGATTGACTTCTGCCACTATTAGAGAAAACTCGTACAAAATGTCTTCTGAAAAGCTTTCTTTATACATTTCCCAAAGATGTGCGGCATCAGCCATTTGACAATTTACTAACATCACCGCAAATAAATCACGTAATCGAATTGGCGATTTACATAAAGCTGCTTCCTTTAGGGTATATTCCCAGTGTGTGTCATCTTCTAGTAAGCCCAAAGCCTTACATGCCAATTGAAATGTAGCATACGTAATGTTATTAACTGTTTTAAGAAATAAGAATGAGGTTGGTCCCCGCACTTCATGAAGAAGTAGTCTTAGGTAATAGCATTCACTATTTTTAGGGTGTATGGTATACACTCGACCTAAAACATCATCCATTCTAATTCCAGGAAAACCAGGTACAATATTACCTCTCTTTCTCCTTTGGAACTTTTTA